ACTAAGAAGGCAGAAGCTGCCTTTCAATTATTAAAGAAGAAGGTGACTGAAGCACCTGTTCTCGTGCTTCCTGATTTTAATGAGATTTTTTAGGTGCATTGTGATGCTTCAGGTGTTGGTATTGGGGGTGTCCTAAGTCAAAAATGTAAACCTGTGGCATTCTTTAGTGAGAAGTTGAATGAGGCGAAAAGGAAATATTCAACTTATGATAAAGAATTTTATGCTATTGTGAGGAGTTTGGAGCATTGGAGGCACTACCTTATTTCGAAAGAGTTTATCTTATTTTCTGATCATGAAGCCTTGCAATATATCAATGGGCAGCACAAATTGAATGCAAGTCATGCAAAGTGGGTGAAGTTCCTTCAAGTTTTCAGTTTTTCCATCAAGCATAAAGCAGGAGTGCTAAATAGTGTGGCAGATGCATTGAGCAGAAAACACTCTTTGCTGTCTACGATGCAGGTAAAAGTTCTAGGCTTTGACACTTTTAAAGATTTATATGTTGATGATCCTCATTTTGGGGATATCTGGAGGAAGAGCAAAACGGAGCCTTTTCAGCAATTTCAGATCGTGAAGGGTTACATATTTAAAGGTAACAGATTGTGCATTCCTCAATGTTCTTTGAGGGAATCTATTATTATTGAGGGACATGCGGGCGGTTTAGCTGGGCACTTTGGTGTGGATAAGACAAAGGCCTTGTTGAGTGAACACTTTTATTGGCCTCGGATGGAGCGTGATGTGACACGTTTTATAGAGAGGTGCAGGGTATGTCATGTGGCAAAGACCAAGAGTACTAATACAGGATTGTATATGCCTCTACCTGTTCCAGTTGCGCCGTGGGAGGATGTCAGTCTTGACTTTGTCTTGGGTTTACCAAGAACGCAACGGAGTAAGGATTCAATAATGGTGGTTGTTGATAGATTCTCGAAGATGGCCCACTTTGTCCCGTGTAGCAAGTCCTATGATGCTTCACAGGTTGCTCGATTATTTCTGCAGGAAATTGTTAAGCTGCATGGAATTCCTAAGTCCATTACCTCAGATCGTAATGTGAAGTTCGTGAGTCACTTCTGGCGCACTCTTTGGAAGTACATGGGTACAAGTTTGAAGTTTAGTTCATCTCATCATCTTCAGACTGATGGTCAAACAGAAGTTGTCAATCGAAGCTTAGGGAATTTGCTGCGGAGTTTGATTGGAGATAATCCGCGACAGTGGGACTTGGCATTGCCTCAGGCGGAATTTGCATATAACAGGTCAGAGAACCGAACTACTGGCAAGACTCCTTTTGAAGTGGTTTATGGGCGTAATCCAATTACTCCCTTAGATCTCACACCGATACCAGTTCTCAAGCAATTTAGTTCGGAAGCTGAAGAACATGCAAAGCATATCAAAGAGCTGCATTCCCAGGTCCATAATCAGATCAACAGGCAGAACATGAAGTATAAGCAATGCGGGGATATGCGCAGGAAAAGAGTTGTCTTCAAGGAAGGTGATCTAGTTTGGATTCACCTTAGGAAGGAACGATTTCCAGCGGGTAGGTTTGGCAAGCTTCAACCTAGAGCTGATGGACCTTTCAGAGTTTTGGAGCGAGTTAGTGACAATGCTTACAAGATCGAATTGCCGGGTAAGTATAATGTATCTGGAACTTTTAATGTAGCAGATTTGTCACCTTACTACCCTGAAGAGGAAGAAGATCCTGAGGAGATTGACGACAACAATGAAGGCGAAGCAGATTCGAGGACGAATCTTTCTCTAGCAAGGAGGATGATGCACCTAAGGGGGACCGGCAGACCCGTTATGCGACTAGACGAATCGGCGGGTTTGAAGTCAACGATATCAGATTGAGCTCAAATTTGGTCGGCTGAAGCGAAACGGCGTGCTGATCAATACTCACAGCCTTTGGCTGTGACTAACGATGGATTTTCGCGATTCGAGATTGTTTAGATGGGTTTTTCTTTTTTTTAGTATTTTTTATGGGTTAATTTAGTAAAGGGTAGTTTCGTAATTTTACGTTTTGATGTTTCCTAATCCTAGTAGGGCTTGGTTTGGGGTTATATAAACTTGTTTTAGGGTTTCTTTTCAGCAGACTTGGATATTTTTGATTTGATAATCATATTTGGAGGACGAATTGTTCTTCTGTCGAATTTTCTTGTTCAGTCAATTTTTCTATCGCGTTTCGGCATCAGACTCCTTTTTATTTTTCTTCTTTGTTCGATTCCATGTCTTCGTAATATTCTGGCACCACATGAAATGGGATGCTCCGTTTTGTTTGTGGTGTGCATTATTAACCATGTTACTTTTTATTAACCAATTTCTCTTAGGATGATAGAAGGGCGGAACAGGGGAAGTTTTAATCCAACATAATTTAGCATCAGAACGGTCCTGTTTTAGGATTTTTCTAAACATCGTGCCAATCAAAAATCAAAACTCGATTAGGTATTATTTTTAAAATTATCTAGCCAACCGAAGTTTGGATGATAATGTACCTCAATCCATGAAGTCACCATCGCAATGTCGGCATCCAGGTTGTCATATTGGAAAGTGACCGGCGTAGGCGCAAGGTCACCCTGTTCAACCACTCGGAGGTTGAGGCGGTGATCGGCATGACAAGGGTGTAGGATCCAACGAGTCAATTTGGCGCATAATTTATGAAGGTAAGATCGGCAATTTTCGCGACCTTTTCACGAAAATTAGACTGTCGATGTAATTAAGCAACATGGAAGGACGCGAGTGTTGGCTCAACTTTTGTCGGTACAGGAGGTGAGAATGCGAGGGGTGAAGGAGGTCAATCATGGCCGGTGCTTAATTAAAACGATTGTATTAAACTAGGTTATAAAAGCATTGTCCATAAATTTTGTAGAGCACTTCCAAATTGGAAGAGTATTAAACTAGTGACGGCACGTTATTCTAGTAATTTCCCATTGAACTTTGCACTGAAAAACATTTTATTAGAATTTAAGGAAGAGTTAAAATCTGTGCTTTCTTTTCTTTTTTAAATTTCTTGCTTATCCCAATCCGCATTTTTCTGTCGGTACACTTAATTGCGGGTGTAATTATATACCTCTTGAGTGGTCACGTGGTAAATTATTATATAGCAAGAAAAAAACAACTTCTCAGAGGTTGGGTAAGAAATTTCGGGGAAGCCAGCAAAGTTATTTTTATCAGCGAGCCCATGGCCTAGATACCGAGAATCCACCACTCTAAAGTTGTTTGTCGGTTTGTGCAATAATGGAGTCCACTTAGACCAGAACTGATCAATACTTTAGATGTCTGGGTCCATCCCTAAGCACCACCATTTTCCAAAGTACTAAAAAAAGTCGTGCATCTCTGTCCACTGCTATAAGAATAGATCAACAAGAAGATCAAGGGGTGAACGAGCCGCCTGGTAAAATACAGTTCCAAATCTTAAGAAAGTTTTTATTGCCGATTGCTAAGCTCCATCGTCCAATGGCTTCTTCATCGAAACCCCAATGGATATACGACGTCTTTTTGAGTTTCGGAGGGAGGGATCTGCGTAACACCTTTATCAGTCATCTCTACAAAGCTTTACGTCAGAATGGAATAAATACTTTTATAGATAGCGAGGAACTGAGAAAGGGAGACCAAATATCACCAATGCTTGAGAAGGCCATCGAAGAATCATGCATCGCAATCATTGTTTTCTCAGAGGATTACGCTTCCTCATGGTTGTGCTTGGAAGAGGTGGTGAGGATTATGGAGTGCAAGGAGCAAAATGACCTCACCGTTCTGCCATTGTTTTACAAAGTGGATCCAAGAGAAGTGAAAGGGGGGAGAGGGAGTTATGGGAGAGCTCTGGCTAAGCACGAGTCCAAGTTCGGGAAGGATTCGAAGATTGTGAAGAGATGGAAGAAAGCTCTTTCTTCTGCTGGTTGCTTGTCCGGGTGGCATTTGTATGATGGGTAAGTTGAGTGGAGTTCACATTTTTGTGTAAGAAACTAATCTTTACACTGTTTGTAAAAAAATAAAATGAATCGACACACACATGATTGTAAATATAAAATGATAAAAACTTGATCGACTCATGGACAAAATGTTAATTAGTGTTATTGCACTTACCCCATTTCTCTCTGGAAGGAATAAGAAAGTTCGCATTGCTTGATACATGATAATTAGTGTGCATAGGCCATATAAGGCAATGACATCGTGCTTCAGAGTATTTAATAGTTTCCAAATTTTGACCCTCGTTCAAAGTCCTAAATAGCTCTTTTTGATTAAGCGTGTAGATAAATCACATAGAACATTCAAAAGGAAAAATGAGTAATTTATCATGCATAAATTAAAAGAGCATGAATCTCTTGAATGACTAAAAGTTAAACCTTGAACTTGTTTGATTGGTGCGGAGCTCCTGGAGTTCTAATTCGACTGAGTGGGAATACAAATTGTTTTTGCTGTGATTATGTGAAACTTTGACGCGTTGCTTTGTCATTTGGCTGGTGACTGCTAGTGATTTGCTTGTTCAAATTGTTAAAATAATGCCACAATTTCATTTTCCGTTTTTGTCAGAGATGAATCAGAATTTATACAAACAATTGTGGAGGAAATCTCCACTCACCTACAACGAACACCTTTGCATGTTGGTAAGCATCCGGTTGGGATAGATTCCCGAGTGGTCGAGCTAAAATCGATGTTAAACCTTGAATCTAGTGATGATGTTGTCATGGTGGGATTATGGGGACAAGGAGGCATAGGGAAGACAGCTTTAGCAAAAGCTCTTTACAATGATATTTTTAGACAATTTAAGGGTTCATGCTTTCTGGCAAATGTTCGAGAAACTTCAAAAGATTTCAAGGGTTTAGTTCTGTTGCAAGAACAATTATTATCTGAGATTTTATCACTGCAACACAGATTAAATGTGTCCAATGTTGATAGAGGTATTTATCAACTACAACATAGACTTTGCCACACAAAAGTTCTCATTGTCCTTGATGATGTGGACCACTTGTGCCAATTAAGTGCTTTAGCAGGAGAAGGAAAGTGGTTTGGCAATGGAAGTAGGATCATTGTTACTACAAGAGATAAAAACCTGCTAACTTATCATCAGATTGAACATCATTTATACGAAGTTAAACCACTGGATGACATTGAAGCTTGTGAGTTGCTTAGCAATCATGCTTTTACGACACCCAAAAAATTAGAAATCAGGACAGATTTGGTGGATCGTGTTCTGAACTATGCTGGAGGTCTTCCTTTAGCACTTGTGGTGCTGGGTTCCTTCTTATTGGGTAGAAGAGAAGATGAATGGGAAATAACACTAGAGAAACTTTCTTGGATTCCCAACTATGAAATTAATGAAGTGCTCAAAATAAGTTATGATGGACTACATGAAAATGAGAAAGAAATTTTTCTCCATATTGCCTGCTTCTTTAACCAGTGGAGTAGTGAGTATGTAAAGAAAGTCCTCAACAATTGCGATTTTGAGGCAGCAATAGGATTACAAATTCTCATTGAGAGGTCCTTGATAAAAATTGATGAGTACGGACTCCTAAAAGTGACTGGCTTGATTCAATTGATGGGTATGGATATTGTGAGACAGGAATGCCGCGATGATCCTGGGAGACGTAGCAGACTATGGTTGTATGATGATGTTGTCGATATTCTATCAAGAGACATGGTAAGACTTGCAAATACCATCAAAATTCTGCTCCTTATCTTTTTTACTCTAATTACCGAACATGCCTAACCTAAATAGTCTTTGCATTTACAGGGAGATTGTGCTGTAACAGCTATAGTGTTGGAGCCACCCAAGTTGACAGAGATATGTATTGATCCCAATGCTTTTACAAAAATGAGAAGGTTGAGATTGCTCATCTTGCGAAACGTACATCATTCTTTCCAAGGTCCTATATGTCTTCCTAATAAGCTAAGATGGTTTGAATGGCCTAATTCGGCTCCCTTGATTCCAAAATTTTCTGGTCCAAAGAAATTAGTGGGACATGACATGAGGAAACGCGATAAAACGGCAAAACCAAAACAATTTAAGGTGAGTATTTACCTATATAGACCTTTTTATTATCTTCTTCATTTGTATATGTATATACGTATTTTATGTAATAGTGCACCTACTTGTGTAAGAAATATTTTTACGTACAGAAAAATTGGCATTTGAAAAATCAAGCGTAAACAACTTTATTAAAAATAAGTACACAATCCAATGAAATTTAATAAATATATGTGGGAGAGAAAGATATTTCAAGATTTTTTTTTAAAGTCATTGCATCAAATTTTTAATATTGAAATATGTGAGATAAAATAGAATAACCAATTTCACGTATCTGTCTGTGGGCATAATAGTTGTAATATAAGTAACTGAGCGTAATTGATAGAAGGAATAGGAAGAATGAGTGAAATCCCTCAAAAGTAAGATGTTTTCTTTACTTTATATAATAATATAAATGAAGCTCAAATACTTTCTAAACCTAATGTCTCTAACGATCGACAAAATCAAATCTACCTAGTGAAGAAATTCAAAATGCAAATGTGCTAGTGAAAGTTGCGTAACCTCATTCTGACTGTGTTGATTGTTTGCATGCAACCTTTTTTATATGTTACACAAAAATTGTACAATGATCGAATATAAAGGAATAAAAAATATGACAAACAAACCCTTGATATTGTGTATAAAAGTAAAGACATCCGAGGAGTAGCTGGCTAAGTGGTCAAGCGCTTGTGGATGGGGCATATTAGATATCCTAATCATAGCACCCTTACTCAAAGTAACCTTAGAGGCCAGGTAGTCGTCAAGTGATGGAGCCTTACCAAATGCACTTACATAAACGATGGGGTTTGTTTTGTATCAATAGAATTAGCTCAATCAAAGGTTTGAATGCACCCTGCTGTAAAACAAGGCATTGTTAATTGCTTAAATCAATTCTTAAGGAACAACATTTCTAAGTGGACGTAATAAGATATTTATTAGAAACTTTGCCAGTAATGCGTGCAATGCGTTGACAAACAATCCGATATAAAAGATCCAGTAGTGGCATACCACCAATTTCTTAATCAAAAGTCAGAGCCAGATTTTGAAATGAATATATGGATTTGTTTTTCTTCGTAATGCTTTTCCAAGTTGGTTTCATTGTCTTTGCATTAAGCTATCATATATAGTCTAAATCGGAATTGAAAGAATGTTCACTCCGGTACTTGCCACATGACATCACTTTGCTTCCATAATTCACACATGGCATGACATGTGGCTTAGTCCTGTCACGTGGCCCACATTCGCAATTTTAGATCTCAAGGAATTTAAACTTCCTAGTTTCCCTTTGGAGTCGTTGCAGACCTCAGTTGCCACCATTGAACATGTAATTGGCATTGATGATCGAGTGAAGGATGTAATCAAATTATTGGATATAGAAGACTATGAGGTTGGAGTGCGCATTGTTGGAATTCATGGAACTAATGGAATCGGCAAGACAACTATTGCAAAGGCCGTATATGACCAACTCTCCTCTTGTTTTGATAGTTGTAGCTTTCTCGCGGAGGTTGGAGAAAAAGCAGAAAATGTTGGTGGTATTCAGTTTGTGCAAACTAAGTTGATATGTGATATTCTTGAGCAAGATGGTGATGTGGCTTCTTTCGAGGGAGGAATCAAGTTTTTCCTGGATGTATTTCGCAACATAAAAGTTCTTATTGTCCTCGACGATGTGGAAGACCAGTCTCATCTTAATGATCTTGTAGGAGACCAGCTGGACTGGTTTGGTCCTGGAAGTCGGATAATTGTTACTTCAGAAAATGGTGAAATTCTCCAAGAGTATGTTTCTCGACGCCTGGCTCGTATTTATGAAGTGAATGAGATGGATAATGATCGAGCTTTTGAACTTTTTTGCAATCATGCTTTAGGAATACACGGTTCGATATTTGACCATCTTGAAACTGCGAAGCGCATTATCGAAGCTATGGGGCAGGTTCCACCTGTTATGGAAGTCATTGGTTCCTATCTTGAAACTGCGAAGCGCATTATCGAAGCCACGGGACAGGTTCCATTTGTTATTGAAGTCATTGGTCCACTATTACGTGGAAAACCAATAGAAGATTGGTTGAAGATAGAGGACTTGATAAAACCACAGAAGGAGAAATCTCAAGAGAGGTTGAAGGATTGCAGGGAGACTTTGAAAATCTGCTATGAAGCATTACATGAAAAGCAGAAACAAATATTTTGGGACATAGCGTGGTTTGCCAATGGCGTGGACAGCCGAATTGCCTCATATATGTGGCCCGATCAAGATCTTTTGCCTTCTCACCATGTTTTGATGCCCCTAGCAAAAATTGGAGGAGACAACGTGCTGTGGATGCATAAATTGTTGAAGCGCCTCAGCAGAACTATGGATAAAGAAGAACCTAAATATCCTGGAAGGCGCAGTAGACAATACATGCATGTTACAGACCTGGAAGTAATCAACAAGAAAGAGGTAAAGGCTTTTGTTTCAATGTGTTTTTATTCTTCTGTAAAATGAAAGTCTTGACGTATAAGGTCTAATTTGTTATCCAGTTCTTCAGTTAGTTTACCATCTATAAGTCTTCTTTGCATGCACGGAAAAGGAACCACCTTAGTCCTTTTCACTTAGCAAAATTGTCCGCTGTGTTTTATAGCTTCAGATTGATTTGTTACTCTTGGCAAATGTAGGGAATGGAAGAGGTGGAAGCCCTTTCCTTTGACTTCAAAAATCTTCATCTCCATTCATTTACGGAAACCGATTTCAAGAGCATGCCAAGCATAAGGTTCTTGAAATTGGATCATGCAAAAATGACTGGAAATTTCGAAAATGTATTTCCAAATTTAAGGTGGCTTCGTTGGCAAGGGTGCCCAAGGGATTTCGTAGCAGCAGAATTTAGTCTGACGGAACTGGTCATTCTTGATCTTTCATGGAGCAAGGTCACCGAAGATTGGGGAGGTTGGAGGTTAATCAAGGTGGTTTCCTATTTACTGCTCTAACGCATTTATTCTGTTAATTATCTGGCAATGGACCTTATAATTTTTTCTCTCCTGTTTTACAGATGGAGCAATTGAAAGTCTTAAATCTCTCCGGTTGCACTGACTTACTGATAAGTCCTACATTTTTCACCTTCCCGAACTTGGAGATACTGATTCTAGAGCGATGCTCACGGTTGGTCCATTTGGATCCTTCGGTCGGTGGTCTAAAAAAATTGCTTTGCCTGAATTTGAAGTCCTGCACTGAACTCAACAGGCTGCCTGCCGAACTGGGTGCCTTGAAAGCTTTGAAAGAGCTCCTCATTGATGAGACTTCTATGCGTGATATTCCCTTTGGAGGTGATTCAAAGGAACTTGAAACTCTTTCTGCCTCCAATTGCTTGTCCTTGAGTCTCCCCGATGGAGTTGGAGAGCTGGTAAAACTCCGATGCTTGTCATTGAGTAATTGTCATTTGATACGAAAACTTCCAGGGTCCATTGGCCAAAGCCCTTTAGAGAAGCTGGATATTTCGGGAACAGGCATTTCTGAAATGCCAGATTCCTTTGGTAATTTGCAGAGGTTGAGAGTGTTAAAGATGGACTATTGCTTCATAAGCAAGTTTCCTAGTTTTATTTGGCGCCTACATAGCATTGAAGAAATACATGCCTCCTCGTGTAGGAATTTAAATGGGGAGATTCCTGGAGATATTGGGAAGCTAAAAAATCTGAGAATCTTGAGGCTACGAAATTCTACTATTACCAGGCTACCTCCTGAAATCGTGCATCTTCCCAAGCTAGAGATTCTTGATGTACTTCACTGTGACATGCTTCAGGAGTTGCCAGCACTTCCCTCTAGTTTGGTTATTGTGCATTTGAGTCCAAAATTGAAGGAAAAGGTGTCTGACCTTTTGATGGAGCATTGCTTCATCACTGTGTAACTTGGATAACAAGGTCATTGAACCGGTCTTCGTTCTACTTCGCCTTGGTTATCCGGATAATTGTTTTTGTTTCTGCTGATATTTCCTTTCAATGTATCTGAGCTTCCTCTGATATTTGCTTGCTTTTTTTTTTTTTATTAAGGCCTAAAATACTGCGTGCTTTTTGACACTTGCTGATAGTGGATCATTCAAAAGACAGCGGTCACATTTTGACACTCCCTTAGGGTGCCCCCGCGATCTCTCTCGCAAGTCCTTCTCAAGACTTTTTAATTGATGTAGTAAATTGATAATGAAAGACTAATTAAAGCAATAGTTGAGGACTGTGTAGTAATTTGATGGTGAGGAGGACTCGAGCAAACGGGGAATTCATTTGATAATAGGCGCGGGCATTTCCATTGTGCATATTTTTGAATCATTAATAATCCATTAATATGAGGTGTCATATAAGAAAAAAAGATGAGAATTCTATAACTTGTTTTATAATTTTGTGAAAAAATGTCATGCTTTACGAAGGTCTAAGACTAATGTGGCATATATAAAACTTTTGATGTTGAGTTTCCTGAGAACATAAAATATAAATAAAAAAATGTTGTTTCATGTATAATAATGATAAATATCTGAAATAAGTCTATTCGAAAAGTAAAAAATAAAAACAAGAGAAATATAAAATTATCTTCTTTTCTAATAGTATTGCAATGTAATTTTTTTTCCTTCAAACTTTTATTGCATGTTTACAAATATCTATTTTCGTAATATTAAAGTAACGGGTATGATTTATTCCGTTTGACATCCACATAGTTAAAAGAAAAAAAATTAATGGATCATGTTACAAATATACAATAGTTATTTTATTTCTCGAAGTGAATTTATTTATTAAGTATAACTTTTTCTACTGGGACCAAATCAAATTACTAGAATGAAATCAATCGAAGCTTTAATTAGCAAGAATACATAACCCATATCTTGGGATTTGAATGTTTTATTTTTGTCCATTTTAACCTTTTGTAACTAATTTGATTCTAAGATATTAAAATTAAATGAAAGTCATTTTTGTCATAAAATAATCTATTCTAAAAGTCATAAAATAGTAGTATTTGAATATTTTAATTAAATGATAAATATAAAGAATTAGGCAATATATTAAAATCCTAAATGCAATATTCTTAAATGACCAATATTCTCTAACAAATGACATGAATTATGGTATAAAATTATAGATAATATGTTTAAATAAGGATAATTGTCCAAAGGTCATAAACCTATTGTTCAGTGGCCAATTCAATTCTAAACCTCTCAATTGCACCAATTTTACACTTAAACATTTTAATGATTGCCACTATAGTCATTTCGGCCAATTTTGAGTGGAAATCGCTAATGTGGACGTCGACCATCCTTTGTGGCAATGCCGGCACTGACTTGGATAATTTTTGCAAGTTTTTAAATAAATTTCTAAATTTTTTATTTTCATTTTCTTTATTTCCTTTCTTTTTCTTTTCATTGTTCATAACTCCCAAAAGTGTCGGTGACTGGTTGCCAGTGAGGGCCTGCACGCCCACATCGGCACTAGGCAAGGGCCGCCAAGCCCTCGTCAACCGTGTTAGGGTTAAAGATACAACTTAGAAGTGGTGAATAGGTTATTTTAATAAACTTTGACGATTTTGTGGAAATTAGTAACTATTGTGGAAATTAGGTGTCGCGACCTCACCTCCCGCGGGTGCACCACTTAGGGGTTCGGCTAATGGATTATTAAGTCTAAACCTAATTCGGGCCCTCCCAAACCCTACCAATTCGCGACTTAGAGTTTAAGTTCTTAACATGAAAAGGTTTTCATGTTAAAGTCACCACTAATCTATTTTGTGGTAGGTTGATTAGAAATCCAAATAAAACATAGGGAGATATGTTTTATTCCTACGAACTAGAGATTTTGAATTCGGGGACTTAATTACGCTAGAGCTAGTCTAACGCCCTTTCGGTACCTTTTTTTTTCATGAAAAATGTTTGAGCAGGCAATCTAGATCCATTTTATTACATATTCACTAATATGCATGGTGACCATGCGGGTGCGCAATCCACCAATTTAACACCCAGAAAGCAGTAAATAAATTACTAGTTTAGGAGAACAACGTACCTTTTAGCAACATAAATATCTGCAATGTTAGCTAGAAAATCATACAAACAACCCTAATATGATTTTTAATTAACAAGCAATTCACTCAATGTATTTTTTGGGTTTTCTCTTTATTAAAATGAAAACTAACCTAATGCAATGACGTGCAAAATATGACATGCTATTAATTAAACCTAGCATGCAAACTATATGTCATGCAATGATATGACCTACTTCTAATGACGGGCGAATGAAGTATTTTTGGTATTTTCATTAAAATTCGGAATAATAAAAAATGCCTAAAATAACATGCAATCTATTCTAGAAAGACACTCTAACTTATCATAACATGACCTCTTTTTTGACAGTTTTTTTTAATGAAAATTCGAAATAATTAACTATCCTAAATAATCTATTAAGACTAGAATAATCCCTAACTTAAACTAGGAAATAAACTACCCTAAGTCCCAATTTAAATAAGAGAAATGTCCTATCTTCTAGATATATTTAGGATATTTAAGATACCCTAAACATGCAATGTTTCTAATTTAAAACCTAACTAATATTTTTTTGATTTTCTTTTTAAAGGGAATAAATAAAACAAAAATAGCAATCACACGCCAATCACTCACACGATCGCAAAATCCATTAATCACGTTCAAATTAGGAAAATGACTCGGGCTAGTGATCATATCCATGGGGACGTGGATATCGATGGAAAGCCGACCGTTTTGTTGGGACTAACTATGCAACCTAAAGGGGGGGAGGGGGTGAATAGGTTGTTTCGAAAGATATTACCGTTTTTTTTTGCGGAAAACAGCATGTAGCAAAGAGATATTGGAAAGCACCATATGTATGAGAGACAAAGTATCACTTGTATGATAGAGATGATAAACAGAAGTATAAACAGCTACACACAAGGATATATAGTGGTTTGGCTTTATCCCCAAGCCTACGTCCACTCTCACCACTAATAGCTACAAGTTGTACTGAATTACACTAGTAATTTGCTGATCAAGTTACACTTCAACAAGCACCACTCCTATCAGATTGTAGATCACATTACCAGGAGGTGGATGCTGCTATCACTTGGTACACTTGAAATTTCAACACAATTACAATGCAGCAAGTGCTATCGACAAGCAGGAGCTTTTTGCTCAGTATACAGGAAGTAAGAGATTTCAAAATTCTTGTTGTAAGCACACACACTCTTACTCTAACTTGTTGGCTTCAGAGACCTTCTCTTTTATAGGCATCTTCAAACTAGTCCTTCCTGATGTCCCGGAGAGCCAAAGTAGCCGTTAGAGTCGTTGCAGCTGCTATCCTTGAAACTAACTGCCCATATAGCTTTTCCTGAACTTCTGCAGACTTTTCCGAAATAGCTTATGCTGTTTTACTGTAGCTGCGATACTGACTACCTATCGGAATGACTCATCTCCTTTCTGTCGGATCTTTTGCTGTACCTATCTAGTCCCAATGACTATTATAGTGACATAACGGTCATATTAAATGAACTGTTACTTGAACATCACCAATTACTAGATCTCTTCAGTTTGAACAAGACATCGTCATTTAGCTGATCTTTGAGATTGATGGTGCTGTTTACACGATTCTTCAAGGACAGTCTTGTGATCTTCTCTTCAATGAATAACATTATGATTATCACTTAGTCCTTTGAATATATCTGCACTTAGACAAGGTAGATATTATACCAAGGATAGTTTGGGTATGATCAAAATCATTTTAGAGATGTTTCTCCAACAATCTCCCCCTTTTTTATGATAACAAAACTATCCTGAAGATGTGAAACAATTATAATGAGTTTTAAGGTGCTGTTAACGAAAATCTGCAGAGTAAGGATTTTTCATAGAGAATATACTTTGCAGAATGTCTCTTAAAAGTTTGCAAGAAATATTAGAGACAATATCTAGACGATCTTTTAATAGTATACTTGTTAAAAGGGTAGATCTTCTAGATTCTAGTGAGCGAATATCATCAGACATAGATTGCAAGAGATTAGAGTTTATCTACGCAATTCATTATTCTTTCTGTTTCGATGAAGCTCCCCCTATTTTGATGCAAAACAGTATTTCGCCATATCTCACATTTTTTTGTACTTCAGTATGTTGCTCTCCCTGTTTCAATATAATTCATTTCTCCTTCTTCAAGATTCTCTTCCTTTCGCTATCTTTCACATCCAGGTTCTCTCCCCCTTTTTGTTATTAGCAAAAAGAGCATATAATAGACAGCATATAGAAAAGAGAGTACTTGCATTGATAAGGAAGTCAAACATGAGCAAATAGGTACAACTGGTCTAACATCAAACATAAGCAAAGAAAAACATGAGCAGATAATAGAAGTTAGGTGCGAGAGCGTTTTCTTTGCTGGGTGGTAGAGGGTTGAACAGTTGGTTCCTCATGGTCAAGCCAGGCAGAGTTATAGCAATCTAAGCTAAGCAATGTTCGTTTGATTTTCACCAAGTACTTAGTGAGAGAAGTGATGGAACTTTTGATGTCCTGAACATAAGCTTGAAGCTTCGAGATTGTAGCAGCAGGAGTAACCGATGATTCGGCAGGAGAGGAGGACCTCTTTGGTCTAGGTGGACGAGCAGACGGCTGCTGTGTGGTTGCCTTGCCTTTCCCGTTGCTGGATGATGCAGCCTGTACTACCATCTTTTCTTGAAGAACCTTCTTCGCTTTCTCATCATCTCCTTGACCTACGAGAACAGCTTCATTCTTTTGATTGACCCGTCCCTCCGGCGTCATTCTTAGCATCATTTTATCCATAGTCTTTTTCCCGATCTCCACATGAGGTAAGCTACGTGGTGCAACATCATAGAAGTCGATGTGCTTGTGCCTAAAGATGCGAGTGATGAGGGCACCGTAGGGTAGCTTGCCTGTCTTGCGTTT